AAAAAAAAAACAATTTGCAAAAAAATAAAAAAACAAACAAAGCAAAGCAAATCAAAAAGCAAAAAATAAAACAAAACAATAAACAAAACAATTAACAAAAAAAACAACAACAATAAACTAAACAAAACACAAACAAAACAAAAGCAAAGCAAAGCAAAAAAAGCAAAAAAAATAAAAAATAGTCTTGTCAAATAGTTTGTTCCACATCAACCGTATGGCTACAGTACCTTATAGTATTACTGTCTCAGTGAATGTATTTTACTTTCCCCTCAAGGTAAAATACTAATATTTTGCCATGTAATATAATAATAAGAAAATAAAACATTATTAAAAAGCTAAGTTGACACCAGTGAAAAATAAAACATGAAAGTTTGTTGAATAACAATATTACCTAAAAATGAATAAGTAAATAAATAAATATAAAAATAAATAAGGTGGCGCGGTGATACGGTGAAACTAGAACAGTAAACATAATTTTTACATACATTGGGCTCTATTTTAACAATCTAGGCACAAAGTCTAAAGCTCATGGAGCAAAACCATTAGGGGCATGTCTGAATCCACTTTTGTTATTTTAAGGATAGATAAATCTGCTCCGCACCCCGGCACATGGTACAACAGGCTAGTGCTTATTCTCTTAATGAGTTCTGGGTGTGTTTTGAGCATAACCTCCATTTAAACAGTCTCGACTCTCATTCCCTTTAAGAGTCAGTTTTGTCACTCCATTATGCATTCCCTATTTACATGGTGGACTTTGTAAGTGTAAAAACTGAACGCTTCACTAGCGAGAAAACAGTTAAACAGAGCATCTGCAGCGCAAGGATAAAGAACGAGCCTCCTCCATTCAGCCTCTTTACTTTACTCCTTTACTTTACTCCTTTACTTTGGTGGAGTGAGGAAACGGTGGAAACTCTCTTCACTGAACACATCCATTAGCCCACATAATTAATTTCCTTTGTTAAGCTCATGGATTTGCTTCAAAACTATTTCTAAATTCAGTTCTGATCTCCAGCAGAGGAATAAATGAACAATAATAATGAAGTGTGGTCAGAAAACTGAGTTATATCCAAACACACGTCCTGTTCTTATGTCCCGTATGGTGATGCAGACATCTCCAAAACCCCACAGCTGGACACATCTACACTTATGTTTATTAAAACTAATATAAATCTGCATATAATCAATAATACTGATCATAATAATCACATTATACAGATGGTCATCAATAAACTGAAAAAGCCACCTGAGGTGAAGGTATGGAGGCAGTGCTGTTTATACTGATGTAAATCATAATGTTCTGTTGCATTTTAATCCTTTTATTGTTTTCATCTGTACAGATATTTGTGTATTGCTGTACATCCCATGTGTATTTAGCAGTGTGTTAGCGTTTGAACCTTCGTCAGTTCCTCAGAATAGCAACGCGTCAACAATGCGCCTTAACACACCGGCTTTATAGACCAGCACACACACGAGTCCACACAGTGGTGCAAATGGATTTGCTATTTAAACAGCGTGGAGCAAAATGGAAAAATTACAGTTGCGCTCATCTGAAAATAACAACAAATCCCGCCATACACGTCTTGCGCCTTATTGCGACGGGTGTATGATAGGGCCTATTATTTCACACATTCACACACGCACAAAATACAATGATAATTATTGTGAAAAGAGCTATACAAGTAAGCTTTAATTGAATGTAATAGACACACACACACACACACACACACACACTTTTGGAACAGTACAGTAACATGCGGTCAAACAGGATAAGACACTTTGTTCATCTCCAAACGCTGCTGCAGTGATGATCACTGGCTCTCCCTCTCTCTTCATCACCACATTATTCTCTCTCTCCCTTCTGTATGGTGTGCATGTCTCTCTCTCTCTCTCTTTCTCTCTCTCTCTCTCTCTCTCTCTCTCTCTCTCTCTCTCCTGTATGGAGTGCATCTCTCTCTCTCTTTCTCTCTCTCTCTCTCCTGTATGGAGTGCATCTCTCTCTCTCTCTATCTTCTGTATGGTGTGCATGTCTCTCTCTCTTCTTTATGGTGTGCATGTCTCTCTCTCTCTAAAATATATCCAGATCTCCTAATGAGGGCCAAATCTCCACTAATGTCTGCAGTTTAAGAGTCTCCCCAGAGCAGCTCTCTCCAGTCGGGACGCTCTCAGATCTCCTCCTGCAGGATTAGGGTGAGGCTCTCTGAGATTCGGGAGGTAAAAAAAGCGAACGTGACCTTCTGTACTGAAATGTGAAAAATACAGCTGCGAGCTGCAATTATGGGGCGACGCAGGGCAGGCATCCGCTGCAGCTCCAGCACAACACACACACTTCCCATCATACGCTTGAGCAGGAATGCGAATTTAGGATAATCGCTTCAAAGGTTAGGAGCAGATTTAACTTTTGACCGCCGCGGCTCATTCGGGAGCCTCAGGGGGTCGGATTCAAATGCGATGCCCCGAAAATACCCCAGACAAGATGCAGACGACCTGCTTTGCCATCTTTTTCTAAAAACTGTTATGAAAAATGTCAGGCTGACCTCAGAACAGAGTTTCTCTGCGCTCCGAGTGAACAAACAGAGCAGACGCATGACATTCAGCCAGTTTCACACTTCATTCACTAGCACTGCTTCCCAATTCACTCATTCATTCCTTTTCTTTTTGGCTTAGTCCCTTTATTAATCTGGGATCGCCACGGTGAAATGAACCGAATATAAGAAATGATTCTGTTGCTGAGGCATTGAATTTAATGTCTTGCACTCACAACTACAATTTGGATGTCTATTTTGGATAAACAGTGTTTATGCACTGTCTATGTTATGAAAAACAGGGCTCAAGGTTTAATTTCGATCAAGAGATTAAGTTAAACTTGAATCCTTGACTCTTTATCTCACTCTATTTAATTTTAGATCATTTTGACTGAATAAAATGTTCAGTCTAGCACATCAGCAATATTTTTGAGAAATCATCACAATCAGAACTTTTGATTTAACCAGTACTGACACGATCATTGTAAATAATAATAATAACAATAATAATAATAATAATAATATCAATAATAATAATAATAATAATACTAAAATATTATTAATAATAATAATAATAATAATACAAATAATAATAATAATAATAATAATAACAACGATAATAATAATAATAATAATAATAAT